TTCCTGTGCTTGACAGAAAATTGGAAATCTTTTCAGCCCTAGTTCTGTGATCCTCAGATCACTGGCAAGCAGTTCTAGTGTTGCTTTTCTTCCAAACTGTTTATTCTTTTCATCTGTGGCCACAGCCCTCTTGCAATGGAAGGATTTGAAAACCACTCATTATACTTCAGCAAACTCCTCAGCAAATACTTTGTATTTATTTTGAGTAAATACTTAACTCAGTGTTTCATTGGCTTTTGGGGAACACACTTGTTGAGGGGAAGAGAAAGCAAACACCTTAGAGAGGACAAACAGGTGAGTAGAGCTAGAGCAGCCTTGGGATGGTCGTTAACTCAAGAGAATTACTGAGGGGCAGTAGGAGGCACAGGCTTGGTGGGAGGGGAGCTCTAAACACATTTCCTGCTTTTCCAGGCAGGTTTTCGTGGGGTGACTTAATTTGAGTGGTTAAGAGTTCAAAGGCAGTTACTGAGAATATGCTGCCGTTCCATAGTTGGCATTTATTGAGTTCTGTGTTCAACAGTTTACGTGAATTATCTCAATTACTCCACACAGAGACTTATGCATACCATGATCTACTTGTCAAGCCGTTGGCTTAGGGAAGTAAGGGAACTCCTCTAAGATCCCATAGGAAGAGCTAGAGCCAGACTGAGCATTGGTTTGATTCCAAGACTGAAGGAACTATTTTTTTTTAAGATATATATAAAATATATGTTACATATATATACCTCATCCATTTGTATGTACTATTTGAGTAATACTTAAAGGTAATCTGTAGAATTAGTTTCCGTATAGAGATTACACCAACATTAGGTAAATTTTTAAAATAAATAAAAATTTGGGGGTGCCTGACTAGATCAGTTGGTGGAGCATGTGATCTGTAATCTCAGGGTGGTGAGTTCAAGTCCCATGCTGAGTGTAGAGATGACCTAAAAATAAAATCTTTTAAAAAAACCAAACATTTAAAAATATATTTTGTTCTGTTTTATAAAATTCAATTAAAAAATAGAGATAAAGGACTTAAGTAGCAGTTTTCTTTTGCTCTTGAACACTATATATAAGGTCAACAGTCCATATGTATGGTTACTTACAGGGCTGCTGTTGCCGTCATGGGTCCTCAGACATCTTTATAGCTGAGGGCTGGCAGAGAAGAGTGTGGCCAACATAGGCAGAGGTATAAACTTCACCTCCACTGCCAGAGACCTCCTGCTGACAGCAGACTTCTGGATCACTTCTGAATCACTGTACCATTCATTTAGCAATTCATCACGTATATTCTGGACCTCTTCTTTTCTTAAACTTTTAGCTAAATATTATTCTTTTATTGTATTACTCCATTCTAACAGCCTGATACTGTCTTATCATTTCAAATCTCCCATGGTCCCCACACAGGCTTTCATTGGATTTGAGTTTTTCCCCTTTTATGTGAAAGAGCAGTGCTCAGTGTTCTTTTAACGAATTGTATGCACTTGGAATTGTACAAGTCAATGCTGATTTTATGCCATATGTTCAAAAACTCTTTGCTTCTCCATATACAGGCAGTACCCAAATTGCAAGTGGAACTTTGCCAACAGTTATTTTGTATACTGGTTTTTGGAACTCTGTAAAAATGATAGGCATATTGGTTGTATTTCCAAATAGGACAACAGAAGTGCTTTTCAACCCATCATGGATGTGAAGTAAAATCATCTCCTAAACAACCATAAAGCCAACTATTTATATACATAAAACATAGTTGTCCTAGGAAATGCAGATACGCAGATATGTATGTAACCCACCCCTAACCCCAAGACAGCCCCCCTGCTCTGATAAGAGCCCAGTGACATTCCTCTTCACTTTTCTAGGTTTTAAGCCATGAGGCTGTGGGTAGTTCAACTTTTGGGACTGAAATCAATGAGGTTGCAGGATGGAATCCGGAGGTTGCAGAGCTGACAAGGGGTATAATGGGGACCTCCTGGGGCCTTCTAAGTGTTGTGGTGGGGAAATTCCTGCAAGGTGTCAAATACTTGTTTCTTTCAGTTCCTTTTCCTTGCTCCTTTGTTGCTGCTGAAGGGATTGCAGGGCAGATTAAAAAAAAAAAAAATCAGCAGTGAGGTTTTTGCAGTTATAACAAGATGGAATTGCCGTCCCCTTTCCTTTGGCTTTGATATCTGTGATAGAGGGTGATGAGAATCTGAGGAGGGATCTGCGGCTAGCGGCTACGGAGTACCTAATCCAAGCAGGAGAGAATTTCTCCTTGCAAACACCCCTCCTCCCCACAAAACACACATTGTGATGTGCTAGCGATGGGAGAAAGAAATGCATCTCAAGGAATGAATCCAGGTTGGATATCCTAAACGTCTGCATGTTGGTAGCCCCAAGGAGGCATTAAAGAAGAGAGGGAAGGAAAATGTCAGCAGAGGAAGGGATATGTAAAGGGTGGGTCTGTTGAGGTCATAGTTTGCTTGTAAAATAGAGGACAAAACCCAAGTTGAGGCCTGTAAACTCACAGTCCAATTACATAAATGCCATTTTATTTTCTAGGAAAGATGATTTAAAACCTACATGATTAAATCCAGATGTGGAATTTTCTGTGGGTAACTCCACTTTGTCTGTGTCAGCTTTATAATCTGTTAAGTGTAAGTAAACCTTGGATTTGCTCTCTTCTCTCTCATGATTTCCCTCTCTTTAGGATACTAGGTTGGGAACTAGGTTTGCTGGTGGACCCCCACCAAGTGTGAGAACAATTGGTGGAGGAAGCCAAGCAGGGGAGGGAGGGCAGCAGGATCTGAGCAAGGCAGCCAGGATCCCAGGGCAGAAGGTGAAGAAACAGGTGGACAACTCCTATTAGAACTGTGACATTATGACACAGATTGTTGATATAATCACAGATTTTTTTTAAAGATTTTATTTATTTATTTGACAGATAGAGATCATAAGTAGGCAGAGAGGCAGGCAGAGAGAGAGAGAGAGAGGAGGAAACAGGCTTCCCGCTCAGCAGAGAGCCCAATTTCGGGCCTTGATCCCAGGACCCTGGGATCATGACCTGAGCGGAAGGCAGAGGCTTTAACCCACTGAGCCACCCAGGCGCCCCATAATCACAGATTCTTGATATAAAAAATTTATATCAAATATATATTTATATATTATAAAAAATTCAGAACTCTAAAATAAGTACATCAACCTCTCTTGCATGAGTACCCTTTTAATTATGCTTTTGGAGGCAGAAAAATATTAGTAAAAACAAACCAACCAACCAAAATAGTGCATACAAGCATCTTGAACAAAAACATCTTGAATAAAGATCTGACAAATGCACCTTGGGATTCCTAATATATATATCTATTTACCCAATTGATTCTGAAATAAAATCAAATATTTAATTAAATAGGAGTGGGGAAAATCAGTACAACGATTCACGAAAGTTCAACTAAAATGTATTATTTGAGATAGGTTAGAGAATTAAATCAGTTTCTAGTTGAAACCTAGTTTTACAGAAATCTTTAAGTTATGCTCAGGTTTTCTTTGGGATACATTAAATTATGGGACAGTAGTGTTCCCTTATACTTAAAAGTGATTACCAGAAAGTAAATATTGCCATCTCTCTGGCCTTCCTTTTCCGTGCCTTTTTTTTTTTTTTTTTAAAGATTTTATTTGTTTATTTGACAGAGAGAAATCACAAGTAGGCAGAGAAGCAGGCAGAGAGAGAGAGAGAGAGAGAGGAGGAAGCAGGCTCCCTGCCAAGCAGAGAGCCCCACACAGGACTTGATCCCAGGACCCTGAGATCATGACCTTGGCCAAAGGCAGAGGCTCAACCCATGGAGCCACCCAGGCTCTCTCCTTTTCCATGTTTAACTTCAGTGGCATGGTCAGGAACCACTGAAAGGAGAAATCCTAAAATACCCAACTCCAGTGAATTTTTAAAAATCCGAAGCCAACTTTTTTGGGTATGGGGAGTGGAGCTGTTGAAAGGTGCTGCTAAAGTAAGGTCAAGCCAACAGGGAAGCTCCAAAATTACCAGCAGTGAGTCCACTTTGGAAAGGCAAATATGTAGGCTTAACTCAAGTCCGTTGCCCTGCAAAAACGAAGCAGGTGTTAGAGGGATGGACTTTTTGGATAGGATGGAGACCCGGGCGGATGAAGTCTTCTCTGGTTAGAAAGGAAATTTGGTATTAACAGGGCCTCGCTGAATCCCAGTAATAACCAAACAACTGGTGTTGTCCAGCGCACCCGGTGGCAAGTGGGAGGCAGGAAGTAGAAAGGCTCAGGCTCCTTTCCCTGGGTCAGTTCAGGAATTTAATTTCAGCAAATGTTTATTGGAGCCTAATAAGTGTTGGGCACAGTGTTAAGAACTGGGATATAAAGCTAAATGAAACGTGGTCTGGTCCTTGAGGACCTCACACTTCAGTAAAATGTCTTCAACCTTCCTCCTGTGCTTTGTTAACTCTTCTCCTGGGGACTTGTCAGGGGACAATTGTAACTAAATCCATTCACGCTTCTGAAGTTTTCAAAACCAAGAAAACGAGACACGGCACGGGGTGGGGGGTGGCTGGTGGAAAGATGGCTGCAGGGACTAGTGCCAAGCTTGGGAGCCGCCAGACTCGGAGCTCTGATGGTGTTGCCTCCTGGCAAGGAGCAGCCAAGAGCTTCCCCCGCACTGGCACCCTCGAGCTTGGCTGGGGCACAGCGAGGCTGCGGCGGTGCCAACAGCTGGTCTGGTCTGGACCGCGACAGCCGGGAGCCGGCCAGGGGCCGAGCGCAAGTCCAGCTCTCCCGCAGGAGACTGCGCGCCCCGTGCCCGCAGCCAGGGGGCAGAGTTCCCGGGCTCGTGCCACCGCTGGCTACCTGGGGCTCAGTCCCCACCACTCCCCGCCGAGTCCGCGCCTTCTCTTTGCGAGTCGTCTCTGCCAGCCGAGTCTCCGCGGAGCTCAAGATTTCACCACTGGCGGCCGCTTCCGATGGACAGGAGCCGAGACGCAGCGCGCAAAGCGCAACGCGCGGCGGGAGGCGAGATGGAGAGGGGAGGGCTGTCCGCGCGGGGGGGAGCGGGAGGGGACTCGAGTGGGGGATTCGAGGGACGCTGCAGCCCCGCCCCCGCCCCGTCTTGTCCTCCTCTTCAGAACCGGAGGAGCCGGGGAGCATGGACCAAACCCGGCTGCTCTGGAACCATGACGCTCGCCTGCTTTGTGGTGGCTCTGGTTTTAGGGGAGCTCCCCGAAGTGATCGGCTTTGATCTAGTCGTCACTTATCCCCTCCACCACCGCTATCGCCAATCGCCCCCGGCAAGTCCCTGGCACCCTCATTACCTTCCCACCCAGCAGCGACCACAGAGGACGCCTCCGCCGCCCCCTGTCCCGCGCGTCCCGCGCCCCCCGCACGCGCTGCATGCCCAGCGCCTGCACGCCCTCCACGCCGGGCGCACGCCGGGGCCGCACCACCGGGACTGCCCCGCCGGCGAGCTCTGGGTCAACGTGACGGACTTCGGCGCCCCTTGTCTGCGCTGGGCAGAGGTGCCGCCCTTCCTGGAGCGGTCGCCCCCGGCGAGCTGGGCTCAGCTGCGAGGGCAGCGCCACAACTTCTGCCGGAGCCCGGACGGCGCGGGCCGACCCTGGTGCTTCTATGGGCACGCCCACGGCAAGGTGGACTGGGGCTACTGCGACTGCAGACACGGTGAGTGGTCCCGGGACAGAGGCGGCAGCTCGGGACTGGCGGGGAGCCAGCCTGGCTAGCCCAGGGCCTTAAGTGTGCCTCGAGGAGAGGAGGTGTGAGTGTGGAGGTTCGGGTTTGCATTGCCGGGTGTGATGGTTGGCTGCCGCCGAGTTACCAGCAAAGTACATTGTTAGGTGACTTTAAATGAGCGACGCGTGCTTTGTGTGGGAAGGCTGTCGTGAGGTTAGTTTTTGTGCAAGGTGCTGCGCCCTGGGTTCCTGGATATGGTCTCTGGCCACTGTTGTGTGTGTATGTGTGTACACGCGTGCTCGTCGGGTGGATGTTGTTCGTTGGATGGATGCATGTTCTTTAGGTCAGTTTGCCTTGAGGGGGTTACCATATTTACACCAAAGAGGCAAAGTAAAGGAGATAAAGTTTCTAATTACTTGTTATGGAAAGGGAAATACTGTGTTAAATCTAATATGACAACCAATAACCTTACCTCCTCCCGATAGACCCTGATTTGGAACAATGTGATACATTTTTTGCCTTCACTCTCACCATTGACCTATGTTTGAAAAAGTATGGCAAAATTCCCTGATCAGAATACAACTTGTCAAAATGATGTTCGCGTTCTGGGGCACAATTTGGTAAATATTATCAGTGAGTGAAGAGAAAGGAAAGGAAAAAGAGTAACTTAGGGAAGAAGCAACTTGATATGTTCAGATGTACTTCTCAAGGATGCATTTTTTAGCTGTATATGTTCTTTGTGGGCAGTTGGGATTATTGGTGACATCAAGAGATAAAGTTGGTAACATGTTTTGGTTTTATGGTACAATGAAAACATATTAATAGGTTTAATGTAAGTAAGTGATCTGCCTTTGAACAATGCTTCACTTTTAGTCGCTGGGGTTTTGTTTAACATTAGGGCTCCCCCCACACCCCTTTTTTCATAGCTGGGAAGAAGAACTTTGTGTCCTTCAAAGTTTGAATTTTCCTTGGCAGCTCTCCATCTAAGCTATGGGGCAGGGATTTTGTGAATTGGGATTCTGAAATATGTTGTACTTTATTTTTGGAGGTAATTTGGAGGTTGGCTTTCATAGTGCTATTTTTTCCCTACAGACATTTTTATTTATCTGAATTGCATTAGCTTTGAGTTAAAGGAAAGTGATAGGAAGGTTAAGATCAATTATCCTTCAGTCTGGAGAATGAAGTCATTGCTATACTCGTGTTTCATGGACAGAATGCCAATGTGGCTATAAAAAAATTTGAGGTGATATCAGACAAAGAGCCCTAGCATTGTCTCATTATTTACTGTAAGAGATTATCTGTTGTAAAATATCATGTTCAGCAAACATTGGAATTTTTTTCACTTTCCTGTTATTATAAGGTGCTTCTTATTTTTAAATGTATATTAGGGTATATATATATATGCAGCTATAGTGAGGGAAAATGGAATTCAAAGGTAAAACCCTATAGTCATAAATTGCTCTTTCTGACACATAACTCCTTCAACTTTATATTCCAAACGAGGAGAGTAGGTTGTTCTTTGTTTTCTCCCTTGTGTTGAATAGAAATGTAAATCTAACAGCAGCACAGACTCTTTGTGATGTTTTTATGTTCAGAGCTAATTCTCACCAGACAGAATCCCAAACACTGCATAATCGTTGTATGTGCAGTACTTCCTGGGGCAAAGGGATTGAACACAAGAGAAACAAAAGAAACCACCCAAGATGGGAGATAAATGTCACCCCCCCCCCGAACAGGAAAACAATTGTCTGGCTATGTAATAATTAATTACTTTCACAAACCCAGTCTTGATAACCAGAGCTTCCCATCCTTTCATTTACTCACATTCTGATTAGGCATGATCCATTCCTTTGAAATGACTGGCATGTTCTGAACATACTTACGGCTTTTTGGCCTTGGTCCTACATCTCACTGAGGAGGGTAAACAAAGCTATCATGGAGTAGTGAAAAGAATATGGAATTATGCTTTAGAAAACATTGGTGTCTGTTATGGCTCTGGCAGTACTATATAGTGTTGGGTAAGACTCTTAACTCCCAGAGCTTTGGTTTCCTTATCTGTAGAAAAGCAGTTTTTGAACAGATTGATTCAAAGAACTTTTCCAGCTCCGAGCATGTATCAAAATAACCTGGTCTGATAACAGCTAGGATTCATTGAACATTCACTCTATCTTGGATGCTGAGCTAAGCATTTTATGTATTAGTTTTCTCATTTAATTCGCATAACAACATTAGAAGGCAGTGTACAATCTCATGTCACAACTCATTTTGCTCTAGCTCTTTAATTATATAAACATGGAGAAATATATGTGCTGTCTGATGATCCATCCTATTTTTGTAGCTTAAAGACTAGTCTTAAAGGAAAGAGGAAAGGAATTATGTTTGGTCCAATGCACATAGTTTCCCATATCTTAGGATTTAGAGATATCCAGAGGGTTTTTTTTTTTGTTGTTGTTGGTTTTTTTTTTTTTTTTTTTTTACAAAAAACAACTAGAACAAAAGGAAAGAAAATTAATAGTAGTGAGATCCCTCCATCAAGAAATAAACTGGAAGCCAGAGTTACGTATCTAGTTGCATTGAGAGAAAGGAGTCGGTGCCTTCAAGTAGAGACTTGGTCTAAGCCTATTTGAAGGGGCGCTGGGGGGATTTCAGGTAAGCTAAGGCAAGGTGTGGACTCACCAGTGGCTCAAATGTCTGAGAGTAAGAAAGATGATGCCTGGGCCCCAATTGTATGAAACTGTGAATTAGTAATAGAGTCGTTTGGAGGATTGGAATACCTAAATCAGCCCAGGGAGTTTGTTCTCATAATGAATACCTAGGAACTTCTTAAAATGCAGATACCTAGGCTGTAGCCTTCAGAAGCCCTGATTAAGTAATCTTTAGATCTGTCTCAGGAATGTGCATTTCTTTCTTTCTTGTTTTTTAAGATTATTTGTTTATTTATTTGACACAGAGAGAGAGAGAGACAGCGAGAGAGGGAACACAAGCAGGGGCAGTGGGAGAGGGAGAAGGGAGAAGCAGCAGGCTTCCTGCAGAGCAGGGGGCCCGATGTGGGACTCCATTCCAGGACCCTGGGATCATGACCTGAGCCGAAGGCAGATGCTTAATGACTGAGCCACCCAGGAATATGCATTACTGATGAGCAGTCAAGGTGATTTGGATGCTGAAGACCCTTTGTCATACTTGGGAAAACCATGGGAGGACGTCGGAACCCATCTAGAATGTACGGTGGTGGATGATTAGGTAGACTGAGTCCACCATCTGTGACTTAATTCTGCCAGGTGTAGGATCAAGAAGAAGGCATGCCAATCTATGGTACCTTTTTGTGTCATTCTAGGAAATGGCACTACTGTTTTTTGTTTGACTGGTGTGGGATAATATAACCTAGTTCACCAGAATATGATTATTAACTGCATGTGAGCTGGGTTATTTTTTATGTTTCTACAGAAAGAATTAACATGCAGTTGATCCCCCTGTCCCCCAATACCCTGCAGTAATTTAGAGCTTCCTGACTAGGAAGGGAAAATCACTTTCCAGTCACTGGTTGGCAAGGCAGATGGGACAACTTGATGCTGTTCTAACTACTCTCCATTACAAGCAGCCGAGTGGAACTCAGCCACAGGTGACTGATGACTGATGGGCAAAACAGGTACAATAAGTGGTGATAATGCTCTAATATTGGAGGTTTCACCAGAAGGAATGACCCCTAGATCTGACTTTTCGTCATGTCGTCATGCTAAGCTGTTCATAGACATGTACCCTCTGCAGTCTCCTGATTCAAAAAGATGTAGCAGACTTGTGGGACAGTTGTTTACAGGCTGTACTCTTTGACGTCCATCTGGCGTTTGAAGTGAATGTTAATTAAAAAGTTGGCTGGAAACTGTCCCTTTTAAAAAAATGCTGCATCTTGATTCTGTGTAGCGGGTTCTCAGAAACATTAGCAATACCAGATTTTATGTATTTCCTGGCTGGATTGTAAATTTTGAGCTCAATCTGCTTTTCAGGATAAAGCAGATATAAAATACTTTGATTTGAAGCATTATCGGACTCTACTAGTCTGAAGACTTCTTTTTTTGAAAGAAGAAAATGAGATATCTAGTTACTATTGCCTTTTTAAAAAAAGTTTTATGTTGGAGAGAGAGAGAGAGAGAGACTGAGTGGGAGGGGCAGAGGAAGAAAGGAGAGAATCTCAGGCACACTTGGCGCCAGATACAGGGCTAGATCTCATGACCCTGACACGACGACATGAGCCAAAGTCAAGCAAGAATCCAATGTTTAACTGACTGAACCACCCACGTGCCCCTAGATACTGTTGTCTTTTGTGAGTGATTATCTGTGAGTATAAATAGATATGGGGCCATTGTCTTTGTGTGTGAGTCTGTGTGTGTTAAGGTAACCTTTGTAAAAGTAATGCCTGGGTGGCTCACTGGGTTAAGTGTCTGCCTTCAGCTCAGGTCATGATCTCTAGGTCCTGGGATGGAGCCCCGCCTTGAGCCCCAGGTCCTGCTCCTTGCTCAGCAGGGAGTCTGCTTCTTCCCCTCTTTGTCCCTCTCCCTGCTCCTGCTTTCTCTTTCTCTCTCAAATAAATAAATGAAATCTTCTAAAAAGGAAAAAAGGGTGCCTGGGTGGCTCAGTCATTGAGAATCTGCCTCCGGCTCAGGTCATGATCCCAGGGTCCTGGGATTGAGCCCAGCATTGGGCTCCCTGCTTCTCCCTCTCTCACTCCCCCGGCTTGTGTTCCTTCCCTCGCTGTGTCTCTGTCAAATAAATAAATAAAATCTTTAAAAAAAAAAAAAAGAGAGAGGAGAAAAAAAGTGATTTGGTTCATAATCTTGGAGGCAAACCTAAATATATAGCAATAAGATACTACACAGAGGTCCTTCATTTGATGGCTGCTATGCAGCTATTCAAGTGATAATTGTAAAGATTATATATAAAAGATGGAAAAATGCTTATAATGGTAAGGGGAAAAGATGGATGCCAAGTTTATATAC